CTATTAAAAAAAAATAGTGATCATAAGAAATGTTGACAGTAACTATCGGCGAATGAATTATTATCATAGTCATATGTTACTTCCTCAAAAACTCCACAACTTTTGTCTGAAATGTTTGTTTCTGATTTCAAGAAAAATATAGTAAACATTTTTTTAACATAGTATTTAATTTCTCCCTGTAAGCAGGATATAAACAGCTATTAAGATAATTTATAATAACAATTATGATAATGTAACTTACCTGGTATGATGTTCTTCTCATTAATATCAGTTTTAATGCCGAAGCTATATTGTGGTGATTTAAACATATTTGTTTTCTCAGGACTGTATGTATCTGGAGCTGCAAAATGAATTGTAACATGTTTCTATATATTTTTGAAAAATATTAGTTATAATTATTACATTTATCTCATGCGCACACGTAGCATTGTACTAGCATTATAAAAGCATTGTACTAGTATTACAACACATTTCAAAATATGACGTTAAAATATAATGTTCACACTTATCATTTATTGTATATGTTTATTACAACAACCTTGTATAAAGTCCAATTTAAAATGTTAAGTAATTGTATCATAGTGATACATCGAGACAAATTTCAAAAATGCATAGCTATTTTTTTATTGTTCTACTCTCTTATTTTATTTCTCTTTCTCTTCTATAAACATTAGTAATCTTATAGTATACATCTCTATTATAATACAATTATTTTTTAGCAGACGATTAGTGAAACAAAATTGAAGAAATATTTTAATACATTTATAATGTTTATTTTAAAATTGCATAGAATTCATATACAAGATGACACAATAAATCAATCTAATAAAAATATAATATGTTGTTAATTTACATGAATTACCTGGACTGACGCTAGATTTATATAAGGATTTTCTATTACCAAAACTAAAATAAGATTTATGTTCCAAATGTGAATTTTTTCTGGATTATATCTATCAGGGCCTATCAAAGCAATAAAAGATTAATATTTTTCATTCCAAATAATGTATTTTTGTTTATATTAGATTATATTAGGTTTATTAGATTATACTAGATTATACTAGATTTATTAGTTTTTTTTGTTAACTTACACCATTAACTGATGTATCGTAAAATGAAGAGATTTTCTAGTATTGAAACTGAAATATGGTTTATGTTCCAGACTCAAAGCTTTCTTTGGTGTGTAATCAGCTGGGCCTACCAGAAGCAATTAGATAGTAATAACGTTTATTTTCTATTATTTTAATATCATCATTTTTTATTTATTATTTTCTTTTTATATATTATCTATGCACATAAGCCTAAGTGGAAAATAATAAAGCTACAATGTTAGTCTACACAAAATTAATTTACACCATTACCTGGTGTATCTGTAGGTTTATCCAAAAATTTTCTATCACCAAAACTGTAATAAGGTTTATGCTTCAGATTTAAAGCATTTTCTGGTTTGTAATCAGCAGGGCCTACAGGCGAGGCAATCAGAAATGAATATTGTCTATTTATTAATTTATTTCTTTGCATGTTAATGATATATCAAAGAAGTATCAAAAACAAAGAACTAATATAAATAATATGATATTCACCTGGATTATGTTCCAATTTCTCTGCCATCCCTTTCCCAACTAAACTATACTGCGGTCCTTTGTTCAAATTCACTTTCTCAGGACTATATGTGCCAGGCCCTGCAACAAAAATAAATACAGATAATAAAGAATATCATAATTATGTTAAGAAAATATTTAAAGCGTACCAGGAACATCATTAATTTTCAGGACAGATCCTTTGCCAGTTAAAGTGTATTGTGGTCCTTTATTTAAATGTACTTTCTCTGGGTTGTAGGTGCCAGGGGCTGCGCAATAGAATATATAAATATTAAATAAATTAAACAGTTAAACAGTTAAAATCAATTACCTGGTGTATCGCTGGGTTTATCCAAAGAAATTCTGAGTCCAAAACTATATTTTGGCGTAGAGTCCAATTTTATCTTTTCAGGTGAATATGCACTAGGAGCTAAAAATTTTATCATTGTATTAATATGTTTAAAAAAGTACGTATTTTATAAAATTCTGTTTCCGATAGAAGAGTAAGATGACGAAAGTATAGTGCGAAAATGAGAATTAAGAAAGAGGAAAAGTATAAGTTTAAGTAAAAGAATAGCTAAGAAGGAAAAAGATATAAAAAGGAAGGAGAAAAGTGATAAAAAAAAGATAAAGAGAATAAAATAAATTAAATTAGGAAAAAGTTAGGAAAAAAATGAATATATATATATACAAGATGATTCAAAACAATCTTTTATCCTTAAAATGTCATATTCCAGACTTCATTCTCAGACGATTTCTTTCTTTTCCAAAATTTTGTCCGAGGCTTAGTTTGTAAACTATTAAAAAAAATAGTTTGTCGTATCACGGATCAGATACGAAAGGTAGGCAGGGGCGACGCAACTCACCACCAATGATGCCAATTCGGGTCCGCTTATAGCACGCTACAGCACACAAGCGAGCGGTCGTGTACGTGTGCCTACCGCACTTCGGCTAGCGTCGGGCGGTAGAAGGACACAGACGTATTCTCTGTTGTCTCTTTTTTTCCCGAACACTATCTATTATGTATATGAGTGGCCACCGCTCATGCTATCATATTTGAACGTTTATATACTTATACTATACTTTTATATATATATTTATGAATTAAATATTATAACTATATTTATTAATTAAATAAATATATAATGTACAAAATGAATATAAAAAATAAGCATTTAAATTAAATATTAGAAACACATTAGATTGATAGAAATATTAAAAATAATTAGAGAAATAAAGAAGAAAAGCAAAAGCGTAATAAACAATAGAGAGAATAAGAAATTTTCTCTTGACCATGTACGCCTTTTTTAATTTCGAAAGATAACTTAATATAAAAAAGATAACACTAATATAAAAAATGTAAACTTAAAATAATACAGAAAATATAAAATTAATTTCACTTTACTTATTTTGTAATAAGTATTGTAAGAATTAGACGACCGTAAGCGGTCATGAAAGAGATTCGGAATATAAACAACTAACAGAGAGGAGCCGTCGTGGTCGTGCAGACTAAGTGTCGGATTGGTAAACGAGGGATCCCGAGTTCAAATCCAGTTGGTCTCCGTTAATTTTTTTCGAATCTAATAGATATCTTTCAGTATTCTGTTAGTATATTTCTTATTTTGCAAATATTTTATAAAATATAAAATCCAATTGGACAATCTTTACGTTGTGTATATTTATTATTTATGCTAGGTATTTTCATCAAAATGTTTAGTTAATTATGCAATTGTATTCAAAACAATAATTCTTTAACAAAGAAAAGATTTATTTTATAAAAATTTTTATATTTTTCTTATCATTGCGAAATAAGATATAAAAAAATAAGATATAAAAAAAGTTTTCAATTTGACAGATTAAAAAATATTCATTTTTGCAAATTTTTGGGGAATAAGAAAGTCTTCTATTGTATTACATTTTTTTAATATCGTAATCGATTATTCATATTGTACTTACTATATACTTGCATAATATTAAAGCATGAAAATGCAAAGAAATAGAATTTAATATTGTAAACAATAATACGGGTATACAAAGTTTAAAAATTTTGATAGGTGACAAATAGAATTGAGAACCCTGATTTATAATCTGTATTTATTACATATGTTTATAGTATAATTACTATACTATAATACATATACTATATACATGTGTATACAATATAACTCAAAAAATCCCTCAACAGTTAAATATTTTGGAAATAATGCAGAAAAATCTTTTTAAATAAAAGTTGTAAGATTCAAAGAAGATAATATGATTATAATATTGATTCATTTGCAGATGTTAATGATATTTTGTTATGATCATTATTTTATAAAATAGACTTTTTTTACATAATATAATTTCTTTAACTATTCAGAATATAAAAATACTACAATATGATATCTGAATATACTGTAATTTAATAATTTTATATTTTTGTATTTCTTCTGACGAAATTCCGTTTCGAATTCTGTTGTGAATTATTAATTGTATGAAGTAAACTTAACATAATTATAACATAATTATAACATCTCTATGCATTGTGTGCCGTTTTCTATGTTCTATTTTTTTTATTTTGCATCTTTTTATCTATCTCTTTTATCCCGTATGGAAAGGAACTATTGAGAATTATTGAGAACTCAGAATTCAGATTTCTATAGTTATCATTCAATTTCTGTAGTAACTATGTACTTGAGTAGTAATTATTGGCGATTATATGCATGAATAGTAATTGAGTAGTAACTGCGACTATTAACGAATAGTTCTGAAAAGTAACTATTGGCGTCTATAGACGCAATTACTGTTCAATTATTATTCATGCATGTAAT